AAAAGTGTGGGGGGGGGGTTAGGCATAAAGAATATTGTACACTTCAATGATTCAGTCTTGACAAAATGAAGGTGGAATCTATTTCATCAATTGTATTCCTTGTGGGTGAAGGTACTGTACTGAAGACTAGATCAACAACCTATGCTCTAGTATGGTTTCTCTTTAGTGGAGAAATATGTTAAAATCTTGTGGAGGAAATAGTCAAGATAATTGGTTCCATAAGCTAATGAAGTGGAGACTTAGTGATGGGAGCCAAGCTAGATTTTATTTTGATAAATGGTTAGGAGTTGAGTGCTTAGCATCCTTTCGCCCTAGATTATTCATTAATTCTGAACAACATGACATGATAATAAATATGGGAGTATGGACTAATGGATATTGGGTGTGGGAGCTTTCTCGGTGCAAGAACTGGTTCGAATAGGAAATGACTCAAATGGAGGAGTTATAACTCATGATATAAAATATAGTTATAATTAAGAAAAGAGGCACAAGATGCTTGGATATGGTTACCCAAACCTATTAGGGCTTTTACAGTCAGTTTAGCCTATAATGCAATTCAAGATGTTAGGAGAAGGGATCAAATAAATACTAAATTTAAATAAATTTGGAATCTTAAAGCTCCACCAAAGGCTTTGATCTTTACATGGAGATTGTTCCACATTGGCTTACCAATTAATAACTGAAAATTTGTCTGGAAGAAATGTGTGACTGGAACAATAAGACAATATGTTTGTTTTCTGCAAAATAATAGTAGAATCTACTTCTCACATATTTTGTACATGAGACAAGGTGGATGAAATATGAAAGGAATGGCTTCACTGGTTGGATAGTGCTATGGATTTACCACAAAAGTTTGAATCCCACTTTAACTTTATTCCAATTATGATACGTTCAACAACAGAGTAAGGATATTGGCAGGTAATTATTAGGACTACCATTGTAGGGTGTGTAACACCCCATTTTTCATAAAATATAATTAAGTATTTTATTAATAATTTTGATATTTTTATTTTATTAGTAGGGGTTGTTGAATATATGTTTTAATTATTGAATATATTTTAAAATATAATATATAATGATTTTATTAAAGGTTATTATAATATTTATTAAAAGAGAAGGGAATGTGTAATTGTGGTTAAGTGTTTTAACTAAAGGAGGGTTAAGGGAAGGTTAAGGTTTTTAAAAGAATAGTTTTCTGATCAAACCCTTTTACACCTCTATTTTCACGTACGCGCCTCAGAATTCAGAGAACAAGAGTAGGAAGGAAATCATCCAGGAGCCATGCACCCGTCATCTAGATATTATCCAAGTAAGGGGGAGTGAGAAGTCACGCTCTAAGTATGAGTTTGTATGTCGAATAGTGGGATTGACCCCCAATCCTATGTTTTTTGTATGCTCATGTTTCAGGGGTTTTCCCTAGTTATGTCTATTTCACTTTTTGTTCTTCTTGTATGTAATTAATTGTATGAGTTGCTTGAATGAATGATTAATTTCAATTTTTGAGATTGTAATTGTATGATTTGAGATCTCTATGGATTTATTGGGAAACCTTAAGGGAATGCATTGATGATTATACAAGGAGATTAATTGGGTATGTAGTTATATGTATAAATTATGTCTTTTAGAAGTGTAACATAACCTATAGAGAGCTTTTAGCAATTGGATTTTTTTTTAAAAAAGTTTGGGTAGGTGTGAGTTGTGTAAGATTCTAAAAATTCTAGTATGAACATACCTAGGTATTTATCTGATTTCTCAGCGTGTGATTAATGAAATTGGGTTCTTATTGTTGGTTTAGAAAGTAGACATTTAGAGCTACAATTTAGACTCAAGAATCACCTAAAAATGTTAAGGAATGATCGAGTTATGTGACTTAAAAAAATGAACCTCATATTCTTCGGGTGAAATATAACGTGCGCACATTTTAAGCTTTTCAAGTAGAATTAAATGATAGAATTAAGTTTTGTGATATTTATGATAGTTGTAACTTTGGATGTTAGCTTTCAAATGTTGTTGGAATCATATAAAAATGAGGTCTAGAACTCAAGTTATGATCAAATTTGTGAACAAAGATCAGACTATCAGATTTAGGCTGAAACGTTATAGTTTTGTATTTATTTAAAATAATAGATGACATATTTAGCTCTTGAGATCAGCATAGAAGTTGGAGATAATTTTCTTAACTTTCTAATAAAATTAAGATCAACTTAATAACATATTGATGGCTCTAGCTAAGGTGTTTAGACCACGCGATGTCGTAGAAGATTAAGTTATAAAAATGTAGTTTATGAGTGTGCCATTGATGTGACATATTGTGAACTATGTATGAATTGATTAATGTACTTTGACATTGATGCCTTTGATGTGTATGGATTCTATGAGGTTCATATGATGAGAAGTCTAAGTGAGACTTAGCCATGATATGATATGATAAGATGTTTGATGTGTTATGGTATAAGACCATGTGAATATAATGTATAGAATTTGTTTGACATGTGTCATACGCATAAAATGTTTTTAAAGGGTACAATATGGAATATATCACCAGGGAAGGTCCTTTGTGTAAAAGCTTGGGAACCAAACTTGGGGATAGCTCAGTTTGGAAGTCTCAGCCCTACCCTTGTGAGCATGAGATGTATCTTGCGTCGCTTAGCTATCCTAACCAAACCCTGGTACGTAATATGTTCTTCTAGTGAGAGCGCGTAGAGGGTCTTACTCGACATGTACTCCTAGACTACTTTGTGTGTTGATAGCGACAATGCACCATGTGATGTTTTACTGGTGCCACATGCATGATAATATGTAGTCTATGTCAATAACATGTGTATTTTAATGCTATATGTTAATTAATTTTTATGTCATGGATGAGTGAAGTGTGATAATGTTATGAATCTGTCTATGCTATGTATATATTCATGTCTTGTTTGTGTTTGGCTATCCAGCATACATTTCTACATCATGAGTCAGAGTGAGATGTTTCTCACTCCTTTTTTGTTGTCTTCTTGTGGTTTTTTACAGGTAATCATCAACATGATGTTGAGAATGCGGTGATGAGACTTAGTCCTCAACATTGAATTTTACTCTAATAGAACATATGAAATCAGGGAATTAATAAGGATTTGATTCTTGTTATTTACTTTGAGTAATTTAATTTTTATTTCCATTGTAATTGTTATTTTTGCTAAGTTTAGTTTATGTTAAACTGTGATTCTCTCCACCTGTGTGAACTTTTAGTTTAATTATATTAAGGTTATTTAATTTTATTTCGTATTATGACATGTGAGGTAGAAGACATCAAATAGTGCATATGGAAATTGAGAAATGCCATGTGTTTTCGAAGGGGGCTATTTGACCACCACTTGTTAATGAAAGACATTTTGAGTACGTCTTGGTCATGGTTAAACACAATGCAAAATTATTTATAGTATTCCCTATATTAGTGGTCATTAAATCTAGGTGCGTGTATTCATCAAGGAATATAATAAAAGGTATAAGGACTGCAGTAGAAATAATGGTCGGTTAGGGGCGTGGGTTGATGTTTCTTTTATTGATAGCTTCTGATCATATATAGTGGGGGACCACAAACCTAATGATCTGACTAATAGATGACCAACATAAGGGTTGGGCGATACTATGATTCTAGTATGTTGAATGGCTTAATAAGAAATGGGCTAATCTTGTTCCTAACTGTGGGGAATACAACACAACCAACTAGAACTTCATAGTGGAAGAGACAAATACTTAGCTAGGGGAATATTTTATGAGTTATATATGGATTGCATCTTGGTTAGCTGGTGCTTGCATATTTGAAGTAAACAAGATACAAAATTTAAAAGTTGTTGTTAATAAAGTGGACTGTTTTGAGAAATTTATTGTATCAAATTGGAAACTAATTTATGTGTACACTTAGTTTGGAAAGGCCTAAATGAGTGGATTTTTCTATTATTCAATCTCTTGATTTGGTGATTTATTCATCTTTGTTAGCAATTCCATCCTTGTGAGTATTTAATCACATGGAGGGGGGCAATTTTGTCGGTTCACTATGATAGTACATATCAATGGCTTGGAGACTGTTTGTGGTGAAATTCATTTATGGGTTCTTTTTATTTGAACTAGCACGAAATTGTTTCAATTTAGGTATTCTCGATTAAGCCTTCTTAAGAATGGGGACAGAAGAGACAGAGTGACTAATAAGTACTTGTTTCCAGATCGTCAAAAATGATTATCAAGTAATAGTTTTCATGCATGTAGATACTCAAATAAACGGAATGAACAATACATATATCAGAAATACAAATCATCGTCCACTTTGCATAATTATCTAGTTACAAAATCATGAGTTTAAGAATAACAAACAGTGAACTGCGAACTACACTATGAAATTAAACGAAACTAAACTAATCCTAGAAAAGAAAGAAAATATGGCCACGAAGTTGTTATACCCAGCAATTCCATGCACGGAAGCCATGTGTGCAGGCAATGAGTGCTTATGAGAGTGCAAGTATGATTTTTCAACCACGTGCATGAGGTTGCTTCATCTATTTATAGAGATAATCGGGGGCAGTTAATCTTGCGTGGGTTCCTCGTGGACGTATAATCATTGTCCACTATGTGAACCACGTGGTTTGAGCGTAACTCCTCATAATCGCTCCTCTCTATGTTTTTATCTCCTTGACTCGATCTTTACTAACGACCTTGGTTTAACTACTTAACTGCTCAAAAACGTCCAGTAACTTTCTCTTGCATTTTTCGAGCACTCCTCGAATATGCACTACTACAAAAACACTGTTTAACATCGCTATATTTACATTGGTTTTAGTATAACTGATGTAAATCATAAACGCGGTGGAAAATTTGTAAATAAATAGAAAATGCAAACATTTTTACATCGGTTGGGAGGAGAAAAAATGTAAATATGAGCAATTCTACATTAATTTTATGATTGACCGATGTATAAATGGAATCAAGAAGTTATTCTACATCGGTTTTGCTTATGACTGATGCAGAAGTGAGACCCTCATATGTGCCCAGCGAACACGCTAGGTTAAAGCATACCCTTTCACTCAGAACGTCCCCAGCTGCCGCAAGCAACGACGGAGAGCGAACCCCGTTTAGAGAGTTCTGAGCCCTACCCTTTCACTCAGCAACATCCCCAGCCACCGCTAGCAAGGATGGAGAGCGAATCCCGTTTAGAGAGTTCTGAGCCCTGTTGTGTTCTTGTTGACGATCGAATGTTTTTAACAAGTGACAAGAAGGAGAAGAGTTGAAGAATGTGGGAATGTGTGTGTGTTTGTCCTCTTGACTCACTTACGGAGTCATCGTGGCCTGAGCGGTGATGCTGATCTGATTCTTAAATGTTTTTAAAAAAATTCAACATCAATTTGGGAGGTCTGAGGGCACTATTCAGCACGAACAAGGCGATCAATCTTTTGATGAATCGGGTGCGTCGCAGTATATGGAGTTCAAGGGAATCAATTAGAGCTTCGTGTACAAGGCGAACGAGGGTTTGGCGAACGTGCCGAATTCTCGCGAGGTGATTTTCAGAGACAAGAAGCTTTCACTGAAGGAGAAGAACCAGTTGATGAGGCTCTTCAAGCTCGTTCTGAAGCACTTGGATGATACTCAAGAGGAAAAAATTTCGGAGGAGGATCTGGAGATTTCATTTGTTAGTTTCTTGGAGAAGATGAAGTTGCCGCCTGAGATAAAATCGTACTCACCATTTCTGTTTCCTAGTGAGATTTGATTTTAAGTTTCCTTTCTGCACATTATTATTAATCTTAATCATAGGGGATTCACTTGGCCTTTCATTATTCCCGGTCTGATTCAAAACATTTTTACTTGTATTTTAATTTATTGTTAAAAAAATGTAGACGTGTATATATGCCAAATGAAAGTCTTCTCTTGGAGATACTAATGAGATGGTCAGCACTAGTTCTTTAGCATTTTAACAATTTTTAACAAAAGCAGAAGAAAATATTGTTCTGCCTTTTGTTTCTTGATTGGCAATGAAATTTTTAGTTTCTAGTTTGATATTTTAATTTTATTGCCTGTACTTTTATGTTTCATTGTCATTTTTAGAATATTCTTTTGTACACTTTTGATATTTTCCCCCTAGAGTCTGAATTATATTAATTGTCTCTCCCCCTGAAGCTGTTGCTTTTTAAGTTCTATGTAAGTGAAATCTGATAATTGGATAAAATAGTTGAAATTTTGAAATCTTTGGTAGTGCTTAGTTTGTTTGATGTGTGTGCTTAAACAGTCTGACAGGGGATTAGGTATACTTGTTTTGAATAAGTGAAGTTGATCATCATCTTTTGCAAGGGGGATAACTATTTCTTTCATATTTCATTGACACTGTTTGAATAAGGTGAATAAAGTGTGTCAACTAAAACCGTATATAATGCAAGCATAACCTGTTTACCAGTTAAGTATACTGAGGTAATGCCTTTTTGTTTTCCATAGGATTCTTTTGTATCCTATAGCCATGGTAGATTATGATCAAGACAATAATGAGGTTTGTAAAGATTTACTTAAAACAAAAGATGGAATAGATTGTTTAGCTCATTACAACTCATCTGTTGGAAGGTATTTTTTTTTATTCTGATTGTTTCATGTATTGCACTTGCCTTTCTTTTTAATTATTTAAGGAATCCTGATTAATTTTTCTTTAAGAGATACTTTTAATCTTGTTTCACCCAGATTTCCCAATGCTCCTGGGGCTTTGCTATATCCTATTTATGGTGAATGAGAATTACCACAAGCTTTTTGTCGTCGTGCTGTTGTCAAAGGTTGCATTTATGTAAGTTTAATGGATTTATGGTACTATTGGTGAGATTTTCTAGTTACTATAACGTCTTTAAAGTGTGCATATTTTTGTTTAAAAACTTGTTTAATCCTTTCTATCAAAATAAGAAAATTGTCTTATACGTTGAATCTATATATGAAATCTTAATGTCTGTATCTCTTCCATTTTTACACTGTTACTTAAGTGCCATCATATTATATGTATGATGTTGTCATGTTTGGCATTTCATGGATGTTTCTTTCTGAATGCCAGGAGTGTAGTTTTTAAACTTGTTGGTAGTGATGGCTGGAACCTAATGCAAGAAGGTGAAGCAAAGAAGCAGGCCTTGCATTTTGATTCCTAACTGGTTACTTTTATTTCTCTGTTCATGGATTGCAGCTTTGATTCATCCATTGTTTTACCTATGCATACATCCTAACTTAGAATCTTAAAATTGTGTAGAAACAATATGCTGCTTTGGTGTGGATTTCTAGTTTACTACCTTATCATGTGTTGCTGGATTGGGTTTTTATGTTTTTATTAAGGTTTTTGTTTTTGTGTGATTTGTAAACAAATTTCTAAAGCTATATATATGTTCATTACAGGTTATTAGAAATAATTCAAAAATTAGCATGATTTTTTTTAAATGCAATCTGCATCGGTTCTCAAGAAAATCGATGTAGATTTATGCTTAAATCTACATCGATTTTTCAGAACTGATGTACAAATGTATACATTTTCTACATCGCTCTATTCTACATCAGTTTTAGAATCGATGTAGATGACTTTAGAGAACCGATGTAGAATATGCATCTTGTAGTAGTGATGCATGCTAATAGCTTCTGATATTCTCTTTTGGTAGGTACCCCCTCCATCATTCTCTTCTTCAAGTGGTTTCTAAAAATATATTTTTCGAGTGCCCCACCAAATTCTCCCCTAGGAATTTAGTCTCGATGAACGTGCTAGGGTGAGGGAGGACTGAATTCCTATGACCTTCACCTTTTCGAGATTTGCTTTCTCTGCTTAGCCAAAGAGCAAACTCCATGATACACCTATTCAACAAAACCCTAATTTGAAGTTCTATTAAATGTGGTTACCATTATATTTAAAATTTTACTGCCCCTCATAAATTTGACGGCGCCTGCTCACATTTTTCTAAACTCTTGTCCGTTGATTTAAAATGTGATTTGAAACATTTGATGGTTGATCTGATTTGCATATTTTTGATCCACAAATTCTTTTATCTGCTATTTTCTTATGAAATAGGGAAACTCGAGCTTTCGAGTTTCCTTGTGGTTTCGTATGCCCTACTCTACTAGATATTACCGCGATTACTGGTCTGAAACCCATAGGCCATCGTTATCATCCTAAGGCCTTTGAGGAGAAAATTTCGTCTAAAGATCTTTCGATTATCTAGGACAAGAAGACATATCTAGCTTTTATCAACGCTCATCATGGCTAAGCGGGTGAGCCTATATCTGACTCGGAACACATCGCTTTTCTACTTTATTGGTTATCAGCTTGTGTCTTCTGCACTCGTTCCATCCAAGTACCAAAGTACTATTACACCCTTACTCAATGTTTACATTTGCGGAAAAAAGTTTGTCTTAGTAAATTGTTGTTGGCCTCTTTATATACTTGCTTGGATGAGGCTTCGGAAAGCTTGTTTCCAGAAACTGGTCCTAGAAACCATTCAAGTCCTCTTTGGCTTCTCCAATTGTGGCTTAATGCTAATTTTGAGAAGAAACTTAACTTAGCCCCCCTTCGAACTTCAATTACCTATAATCTCAAAGGTGCTCGATTGGCAGCCTTGACTCCTAAAAAACAATCTATAGATAACTTTGCCAAGTATATAAAGACTATTCTTAGCTTCGAGGGGTTCTCGGAAGATCTTGCTCCTTTTATTCGCCCTAATCTAGTGGGTCCTGCCTGGTTACAAAACCAAAACCAAGTGGGGCATATTTCTCGAGAGATGACAGAGATTTGGTTTGGATTCTTGTGATGGGATGTTATCTTTTCGGGAATTAAGCAAAAAGATGTGCGCATTTATCCCTACCAGCTGCAACTCTTCATAAGACAATTTGGCTTATGTCAAATGAAACCCCTACCTCTTCGTCGAAAAGAAAAAATATATTCTGACATTTGTGACGAAAAAGGGGATTATGATATAGTTATCAATTTGATCTTGACTCCAGAGAAACGCCTCCTTCTTACACCTTGCACCTTTTCTCCTTCTTTCTTAGTATCGAAATGTTTCCTCACTTGGTGATTCAAATGTTATACTGATAAGATTTTTTCATTTGAAGACTTCCTTCGTCGTTTGATCAACTCTCATTTTCCTGCGCAGGGTCCAAAATTCCAGGTACTTACAAGAATTATAGTATTATTTACCAATTTGAGCAGTTTTTTAAAGTTTGTTATCTACCCAATAATTTGCCTCGAACGATTTTTGATGTTGCCGTATCTTTGACGAAAATGGTGCAAAAGAGCATGCTCATGAAAAAGGCTATTAATCCAAAAGGGGAAACTACTTTCAAAAAATTTTGTCCTAAAAATATTCCCCCTGTTCCAAATGCTCATTTTGGCTAGCCAAATATTTATCTTACCCTCTTTGGGTGAAGACTCTCGATCCCTTTTACTTGGAGCACAAAAGTATCCCTGTAAAGGACCGAGTTACCTATGCGAGATGTTCCGTGCATGATTTTCCTCGAGATTAATGGTGGCCACTTTGTTGGGTTGATAGAACAGTTGCGCCTCCGGGTAAAAACATCCATCTGATGTTTTCTTCGATTTGTTTTACTTGCTTCTTTCTTTGTGCTTTAATGAATAATTATTTGTTGAATTCAATGGCTCTTGCTCAATGAGTTCCTCAACACCCTGATGAAACCCATCAGTGGGAAAGTGATGATGAGCAACAAGGACCCAAGTCAAAGAAATGAAAAATAGCTTCAGATAAAGTTTTGCTCTGCTCTAAGGTAACCCCATTGAGTCTTACCCTTACTCCACGTAAACGTTTTCACTTATCAGGAGTTGGAACCATTACCAAAGAAAAAGAAAGCTAAAGTCGATTCTTCCAATGGCAAAACAGTAATTCTTTTCTCTTTGAGCAACAAGGACCCAAGTCAAAGAAATGAAAAATAGCTTCAGATAAAGTTTTGCTCTGCTCTAAGGTAACCCCATTGAGTCTTACCCTTGCTCCACGTAAACGTTTTCACTTATCAGGAGTTGGAACCATTACCAAAGAAAAAGAAAGCTAAAGTCGATTCTTCCAATGGCAAAATAGTAATTCTTTTGTCCTTGATGTTTATTCCGTTAATTGCCTCTCACTAACTTTGCTCGCACTAGGTTTCTACTACGAAGAAACTTGACAAAGGGAAAGGAAAGCAAACTTCCTTGACTAAGATCGACAAAGCCCCAAAGGCCGAGAAGTTGCTAAAATATGCCATGAAGTCTTTTCCTCGTTCTGTTATTGTTGCTTCCCGTCAAAAGGTACATGGAAGTTTTAGTTTTAGTATTTATTAATTTCTTTACCTCTTTGACTTTCTCCTGACTATTCATCTTATTTTCTAGGATATTGAAGTTATTGACATCTCCTCTTCTCGAGATTTATCCAAGGAACCTAACCCTATTTTTGATCAACCCCTGGTAAGCTTATGTTTTGTTCTTTTTATGTTTATGACTAGTCTTTTAAAAAAAATCTCTCCTTTTACAGTTCGAATCATCTATACCTGAGAAAGCTATGAATGCTTCTCAAAAAATTTCTCCTTGTATTGAAAGTCCACATTTGGATACTTCTATCAATGTCGAGGTGACTAACGTGGGTACTCCTATTGCTCTCAACATACCACAATCAAACATTCCTCTTGGTTTCGACACACCCCGTGGATCTTCCCAAGGAGATGCCCCTTCTTTTGAAGTAAAACCTGATGTTTTGTTGGGCACAGGTATTTTTTCTTCCTCATCCTTTGTTTGAACTAACACTTAATGCAACTTCTCCATATATAGTTTTTGTTTCCCTTATCTTCTATTTGTATAACCTGTCCTATCTTTCTTATGCTAGGAGAAACCACGGCCACCCCAGATTCCGCTCAACCTATTACATTTCCCCCACTGGAGAAGAATGACCTTGAGTCATTTATGCCTCCTCCTATTTTTATACCTTCTACTGATTTAGATTTGATTAGCTTCTTCAATGACGATGTTAAAGTAGATAATATCTTTGAGGTTCTAGAGAATTGGACAAGTGGTACATCTGCCTCCGAGAAAGCTCCTAAGTCCGTTGCCAATTTTCAACCCTTGCTTGAATCGAGGTTTTGCAAAGGGAGCTTGATACTCTTCGAGCTAAGCAAGCTACTTTAAAAACTCAAAAGTCAGGAAGTCATTCAACAACAAAAGAAGTCTTAAAGATGAAGGCAAGGAGATCTCTTCGAGACTCTCGAAGACTTTGGAGCACAAGAAGCGACTGGAAACTCAATGTGCTTCTCGAACATATAGTTTAGATCAAGCCTATCAAGCTTATAGGAATTTTAAGTCCAAGTTCTGTAATATTGATTAAATTTGAGAACTATGATTTCGACTTACTTTATGTTACTTTGCTGCCTCTTTTACTACTATTATCTTTCATGGAATTTTTTCAAGTATTTTTCGTTGATTACCTTGCTTGCCAATCTTGAATTTGTCTCTTTAATTACATAGGCATTTTTTGAATATACCTGATCGATTATGAATGGGCATTCCCAATTATAGGACCATTTTCCTAGGTGTTGAGACTTTTGATCTATGGGAAGAATTACCTTTAATACTAGCTCTCCGACACGAAAGTTTTGAGCTTTAACCCTTTTGTTATATGTTTTCTCAACTTTCTCTTTTTGCTGAATAATATTTTGCAAAGCCATCAAACTTTCTTCATCCAATGAATTCAATTCATCATACATCAAATTCCAATAATCTTCGACGGGCAAATCATTTTGCCTTTGTATGCAAATAAATTGTAGGTTAATGTCTATGGGTAAAATGGCCTCATGACCATACAACAACTTGTATGGTGTGGTTTCTGTAGCACCTCTTGGTGAATTTCTGTAAGCCCATAATACCTGGACAAGATTTTCGTGCCAATTTCGGTGCTTCCTTGAAATGTGTTTCTTAATCAAGGTGATGATTACTTTATTAGCAGTCTCTACTTTTCCGTTTGCCTGTGCATAATAAGGTGTCGAAGTCACCAATTTAATTCCTCTCGACTGAGAATATTGTGTAACTTTTTGACCTGTAAAAACTGTACCTTGATCTGTAGTGATTGTTTGAGGTATTCCAAATCGTACTATGATATGATCCTCGATGAAGTCTATAATTTCTTTTTGACCCACCTCTTTCACTGGGGTTGCTTCTACCCATTTTGTGAAATAGTCTATAGCTACTATTATATATTTATGATTCCTTGATGATGGTGGGTGGATTTGCCCTATTAGGTCAATTGCCCAACCTCGAAATGTCCAAAGTTTGATAATTGAATGTAATTCACTTACTGGTACCCTTTGTATCGGCCCATGTTTTTTACATTCTTCACAACTTTTAGCAAATTCGATACAATCTTTAATCATAGCTGTAGACCCCTAAAATTGTCCGGGTCGGAAATTTACAACACTTCAACCAACAATTTTCAGTTTAAAAACTAGTTCTATATAAAGTGATACACCTCATTGCGAGGAAAGAAATTAATACAAGGTGTAAACCTGGCTTCCTAGTTGGTTTTGTGCCTGCTTTTTGGGGTAAGAAAACTCCAGTGCCACATGATCCTTGCCCAGAGACTAAGAAAACAGCTTGCATCCCAGGCCCACCTGTCGCATGTTTCGACCTTTGATATGATGATGATCTTGCCCATGGAATAGATTTTGAGTACTGAAATTAATCACAATATGTATTTTAATTTTAATAAAACAAAAAATTGGATATATGAAATGGTGAATAAGCAGGTATGACTATTTCACAAATAAAGTTCAAAGTCATAAACAATTAACTACTAATATGTCACTGCAGCCTGCAGGATTAATATGCATGCATGTGACCAACTAGGCATGCGTCATGACATGTCTAGTTTCATACTGCATGCTTCAGAACTTTTCTGATAAGCCACTAAAGCTATCTACTTAAGTAGGTTTGTTTAATATATTACGTGCAACTTTTCAATTTTTAAAATAAAATCAGACTAAAGCTAGATTGAGACAATTTTCAGCTTGCACGTTAGCCTACTTTTTTATTGTTTGAGTCATGTTAGAGGGAGACGAATTTTGAGCCACGCCATTAGGTTATCAACCATTCAATTAAATTAGGAACTCCTTTATTTTTGGCCTTTTGGTTTCAGCTCAAGAATAATTAATGTTACCGAAAGTACAAGGAAAAAACTTTAAAAAAAGGTAAAATTCCTGGAATATCTGCAGCATGCAACACTAAAGACCCTTTTTGCTTCAAAAGAAATCTGTGTGCAAAAGAAATGGAACTGTAAAAGCATATTTTCTGTTCCCACTAACGCCTAAAGTAGCTTGATGATCTCCTTATGCTAAAGTAGCCAATTAATACAACAAAAGTAGTTAGTACAAACAAGATCTCAATTTGAGTTTTGTGATTTAAAATAATAAAATTAAAAATTTATTAATCAGGTCAATTTTCTTTTACAAAAATTAATTATATGACAAAACTAGTAAATATTTTGAATTAATAATATGATTAATTAAAAAGTAGTTAATTAATTAAAATCCACATATGATGCTAACTCAATTCATAGACAGACACGTGTACAGAACCTGATGACGATTCTTGATTAAATAAAGCTATTTCAATTCCATTTTTAATCAGTAATTTCAGTTGCATCTAAAGTGCCTAACCCATCTTTGGAATACCTACATCTCAAATCTTTAAAGCACATATTATTAAAACTACAGCCTGATTACTACCTAAACCTAACTAAAAGGATATATCTTTTATTCCTTTATCATATGATACCTATTCCTTTATTATATGATACCTACCAAAACTTCTACGCAAACATTGCACCTTGCTGTCTCTCCAGCAGCCACAATTAACCAGAGGCAGAGCTTTTTGGGGTAAGAAAACTCCAGTGCCACATGATCCTTGCCCAGAGACTAAGAAAACAGCTTGCATCCCAGGCCCACCTGTCGCATGTTTTGACTTTTTGATATGATGATGATCTTGCCCATGGAATATATGATACCTACCAAAACTTTTTAAAAAAATAATAATAATAAATAGGAATAAGAATCTTCCCTTACATGGTGTT